GAAAAAAAAATATATGAGGTAGTTGGTACTAGTTAGCAAAAGATAGTTAAGGGCCTTGAACAATAATATAATTGAACAAAAGTGGTAAACAATATTATAATAATAACTTTAGTGCAGTTATTGTGTTCAATACAGTGAGTGTATACATATACATTATATACAGTATTGGTCTCACAGGCCACAAATGTTACTAGAAAAAGAAAAAAATTAGAAAAGAAAAGAAGAAAGTATAAAAAACGTAAAATAAAGAAATGCGAGTTTGTGGAAATCGCCGATGTTGCCGCCACCTGGTCATTTTGGGTCAACTTCTCGCCTCTGTATCTCGGTAAGTATTGATCAGAAATTTTTGTTTTATTACCTTCACAAAAATATACTCTTTAATTCTGTAAGAATTTTTTTTGTTTTTTTTTTTCAAAATTTCTTGGACACTGGGGCACCCCTTCCAATTTTGCCTTTGGACCCTGAAAGGGTTAAAAAGTAAAATACACATGCAGTACACTCATTATTTACCTCAAAATATTTGTAGTCTTAATGTAGGGCAAAAGGTGAGTAGTATTTACTCTAAGAAGTCAGGTGTGGTAGCCCTCCTGGCCATCCCACCCACACATACTATACTACGATGCTTAGAGCTCCCTAGAGCGATAAAATGCATATACAGTAGACACATTACTTACCTTAAAATATTTGTAGTCTTAATGTAGGGTGAGAGGTGAAAAGTATTTATATGTAGAAAGTCGTGTGGGAGGTATGGCATCCTGCCTGGCCACTCCCACCTACTATGACATTAAGCTCCCTAGAGCAATAAAATGCATATATGGTACACTCATTAATTACCTTAAAATATTTGTAGGGTGAGAGGTGAGTTTTATTTGTATGAAGTCAGGTTGGGAAGTATGGGTAGCCAGAAAGGGCAGCCCTCCCCACCCCACCCACACATAATGTAAACAAACTAGATGAACGTGTCTGGCTTTCGTCACAAGTCCTTCAAGTTGCCTGGCTACCACAAGTCCTACAAGTTGCCTGGCTACCACAAGTTGCTTGGCTACTGCAAGTCCTACAAGTGGCCTGGCTACCACAAGTCCTACAAATTGCCTGGCTACGACAGGTCCTACAAGTCGCCTGGCTGCCACATCTCATATTTATGTTAATTTATTCTACTGTGGGGTGTATTTAGATGGATTAAGCAAAATGTCTATATTAACGTTTTATACGATATTTAATGCTCCTTAGTGATTATTATTGTGTTATTATTACTATTATCATTATTATGACATCTTCAAGACTAATAAGACACTTAGTGATTTTAATGTGTACCTGCATGCCAGCACAGTGTGTAAGTTTACTTAGGTACAGGTACACATACATATAATTATAAGTTATAATAATAATGTAGGTACGTAGTCCACCTGGGCTACATACCTACATGATATTTAATGTGGCCTAGAGCCATATTATTACCATCAACATACCATGTTCACTGAGATTAATTGTTTCTAACAACTACCTTGAGATATCATCATAAACAAAGGGAGAAGTAATGAATAATTCATGCCGAGAATTGTAAACAAAAGCGTCATGTATTAAGGGGAGTGACGTAATGTTTTCCCTCCGCCCGGCTACTACACCTCCTTAGTATATAAACAAAATGTTTACAAGTTATGTAACGTGTTTCTTATATAATTTTGAAAAAAATATCATAGATGGATTAATAAAAATGTCTATATTGATGTAAAATTAGACATTTAATGTGCCCAAGAGTGATTATTACATAATAGAGAGATGTGCTGATGGAGAATGTAAACAAACTGGGTGGCCTGCACCGTATTTGAAAGACCACTTGCCATATAGAAAGTTTTGGTCATAATTTGAGATCGCCGTATTAGCAGAACGCCGTATGGTGAAACGCCGAAAAGTGGGACCCTAATGTACATGCTTCTAAACTATTGTATTCTGAGCGCCTCTACAAAAACAGTGATTATGTGTGAGTGAGGTGAAAGCGATGAATGATGAAAATATTTTCTTTTTGGGGATTTTCTTTCTTTTTGGGTCACCCTGCCTCGGTGGGAGACGGCCGATTTGTTAAAAAACAAAACAAAAAAAACGTAATATAACAGTATCAACAACAGATCACAACATAACAGAGGTACAGACATGTATGCACAGGGCTCTTGACCATCAATATATGATCAGTCATGAGGGTGTCTTCACAAAATTCAACTTCAATAACAAAAACACAATGGGAACAAGTCAACCATGTCCTAAATGAAATAAGCTGGGAAGATATCCTAAACAACATGGATCCAAACCTTTGCCTAGGAAAAAATAACTGTGGTTCTTGAGATCTGCTCAAGGCACATTCCATTAAGGAAAAAGAAAAAGATGTGAACTAGAGAGAGAGAAATGCTCCCTATACAGATGAAGGTGAAGAATCACAGCTGCTGAGAAGGGCCAATATATCTGAAATACGAAGGGAGGCATTGGTCAGTGAAATAGCAAATATCAAACTTAAGCTGAAGGAATCTTACAGGAGACAAGAATTGCAGAAAGAACTAAAAGCCATCAAGGAAATTGAAAAAAAAAAAAATTACTTCTCTTATGCCAAATCTAAGGAAAAACCAATATCCAGTATTGGGCCCCTGCTTAGGAGAGATGGGACATACACAGATGACAGCCAGGAAATGAGTGAGATACTTAGGTCCCCAATATGACTCAGTGTTCAGTGAGCCATTACGCAGACTAAGGGTCGACTATCTAAATGAATTCTTTATGAAAGTGACCCAAAATTTGGTTATCTCAAAAATAACGATACACAAAAAACCCACACATGGAAAAGAGGAGCTTACGACGACGTTTCGGTCCGACTTGGACCATTTACAAAGTCACTTTGTAAATGGTCACTTTATAATTTACAAAGTGACTTTGTAAATGGTCAAAGTTGGACCGAAACATTGTCGTAAGCTCCTCTGTTTGATGTGCGGGTTATTTATTTATCTCAAAATCTCTGATATTATCCTAACACCACAAGACTTTGAAAAGGCAATAAATGATATGCCCATGCACTCTGCCGAAGGCCCAGACTCGTGGAACTCCATGTTCATTAAGAAGCCCCTGTCACATGTCTTCAGCATTCTATGGAGAGGGAGCATGGACACAGGGGTCATACCACACTCACTAAAAACAATAGACATAGTCCCACTCTACATAGGTGGCAGTAAAGCAATTGCAAAGAACTACAGACCAACAGCACTAATACCCCATATCATAGAAATCTTTGAAAGGGTTCTAAGAAGCAACATTGCCAACCACCTAGATACCCATCAGTAACACAACCCAGGGCATAATGGGTTTAGAGCAGGTCACTCCTGCCTGTCCACTATGACAAGGTCCTGGATGCTATAGAGGCTAAACATAATGCAGATGTAGTACACACAGACTTTACAAAAGCCTTCATTATTATTATAATCAAAAAGAAGCGCTAAGCCACAAGGACTATACAGCGCAAAAGCCTTCAACAAGTGTGACCATGGCGTAATAGCGCACAAAATGCATGATAAAGAAATAACAGGGAAAGTTGGGAGATGTTTCTATAACTTCGTAACAAATAGAACACAAAGAGTAGTAGTAAACAGTAAAGTCTGAGGCAAATACAGTGAAAAGCTCTGTTTTATAAGGCACAGTACTTGCTCCCATCCTATTCCTCATCCTCATATCTGACATGGACAGAGATGTAAGCCATAGCTCCATGTCTTCCTTCATGGATGACGCCTGAATTGCCATGACAGTGTCCTCCATCAAAGACACCTCAAGACTCCAAGCAGACATCAACCAAATCTTCAAATGGGCCACTCAAAACAATATGAGTTCAGTGAAAAGAAATTTCAACTACTCAGATATGAAAAACTTGAGGAAATTAAAACTATTAGTGTATACAACAAATTTTAACCATACAATAGAGCGTAAAGTAATGTGGAGGACCTGGGAGTGATAATGTCAGAGGATCTCGCCTTCAAAGACCACAGCAATATATCTACCGCATCTACTAGGAGAAAATAGGATAAATAATGAGAACTTTCAAAACTAGGGATGCCAAGCCCATGATGATTCTCTTCAAATCACTTGTTCTATGTAGGCTGGAATACTGCTGTACACTAAATGCTCCCTTCAAGGCAGGTGAAATTGCAGACCTAGAGTGCATACAAAGAACTTTCATGGCACACATAAGTACATTAAGGCACCTAAATTACTGGGAACAGTTTAAGTCCCTTGATTTGTATTCCCTGGAATGCAGGCAAGAGAGCTACATGATAACATACACTTGGAAAATCCTAGAGGGATTAGTACCAAACTTGCACACGAACATCACTCCCTATGAAAGCAAAAATCTCGACAGGAGATGCAACATTCCCCCAGTGAAAAGCAGGGGCGCCACGAGTACAGTGAGAGAGAACACAATAAGTGTCAGGGGCCAAGGACTGTTCAACTGCCTCCCAGCATACATAAGGGGAATTACCAATAGACCCCTGGCTGTCTTCAAGAAGGCACCGGACAGGCACCTAAGGCCAGTACCTGACCAGCCAGGTTGTGGTTCATAAGTCAGTTTGCATGTGGCCAGCAGTAACAGACTGGTTGATCAGACCCTGATCCTCCACAAGGTCTGGTCTCAGACTGGGCTGTGGGGGCATTGACCCCTGAAACCCTCTCCATGTATGTGACATTCTAACATTGACCTCTTTATACAAAAGTGGACTAAGCAATCATGTTCCCCACTGATGGACAGTAACTCTTGAGGCCAACTCAACAGGCAAGTAGGAGGAAACATCGACAGCACTTTGTCTCCACAGCCACCTTAGCATGGGAAACTCAAACCTATTCAGCCTAAAGTAGCAACGAAGTCCATAATCTTTCCCAATCCCCCATCATGAAAAGGCATCATCTTTAAAAAGGATAAAAATATGAAATACCTATAATCAAAGCAGGGGGCAGGGGAATGACAAAGTTCCTAATTTATATTATTTAATTTGCATGCTCTAAATATGTTACATGCATTTTTACAATTACTTTTCAAAATAAAGGTGGCACTGGAACATGAATCCCCACAAGAGTATTTTAAAATTAAATATTTTTTTAAAATTCTAGAGCTAAGGATAATATGTGCTAATACAGCTTACTAACCTTGTGAATCTGTCTAAACTAGAATAAAGCAGGATAACCTTCATTGACAAATGTGTGAATCACAACCACAAGACTAAAGCACTTAGGTCAAAGGCCTCAAATAAGTAATAGCACCTACATGTCTCTTCACAGTAAGGTATGCTACATTTTTTGTGATAATTTAAAAATCTTAATAGTAGTCACAACCATTGTGTTACCTCAACGTCATTTTATCTAAGATGTGCACTCTCGGCTTACTCCGGAAAACATGGCGACAGTTGTGAAGCACTTCGTAGTCCATTATGGCAAACTCATTAACAGTAACAATCATAATGCCACATTTCCAACTCAAGATAAATGTCAATGTTGCACTTTAAATGTCTTTTGGATAATTGTTGCTCTACCTTCCAAAGTCTCAGACTAGATACAATATATCCTTATTTACAGAATAATATGAAATACAGATATGGTGAAAACGAATATAGTATAACAACTAAAGATTTTACTGAACTGATAGCTTATTTGATCCTTCCACAATTACAAACTGCTATGCTTTTATTCATCTATTACCTAATAGTCTATGTGAAGGAACAAAGTTCAAAATTTGTAATCCTTTCCATCCTACATATTAAAAATAATGCAACAGATGGATATAGTGTACAAAACTTCAATTATTTATGTACATTATTTTACTGAATCCAATAAAATTTTGTTTCCAATATTTGTACTACAAGCTATTACATAAGATACCACCAAAATTATCCCTTTACTGCAAAATATGGTGAGACTCCTGCCTCACAATAACTTCTTTTTATTTACTTTCCTGACTGTACAAATACATTGGAATTATCAATTAATTTTTATTTTCTTCTAAATAAACCATGGAACTGGTGAGGTTTGAACCCACTGGCCTGGAATTTTACGACTTACTCGCCATGGGTTCAAACACCACCCGTTCTGTGGTTTGTTTGCAATCGTGATATCATGATTTTGTAAGTCTTCATTTTCTTGTTACAGTAGTAATATATTTTGTTGTAAATCTATTGTAACAAAATTTTTGTATACCATACCTCTTTCTATATTAGTTACAATAAAAGTACTAAAACACAGGTTATAAACTATCTCATCTTAATGTTTTAGATTCTGCGGTAACACTTTAAACAGGTGCTTACAATTTCATATACAGAGTCAACTAATCTTAACCACGATACTGGCAATGCTTGAAATAAGAAACTACATCCCACACCTGCATTTACCAGGAATCTTCTCTATCTGAAGGCTCTCTCAAGTTCCTTGTAGCTGCAGATTCAACTCTTCCAAAAACCTCAGTTTTGACAAGTTTGGTCTACCAAGATTTTTGGCATATAGAGTGCAATTGTAATCATCAAAGTCAGAAATTTTAAAAATTTTGGCAGGTTTACTTGGCAACTATGACAAAATGAAGAGGCATGAAGAAAATTAAAATGTAGAGGTTGTATATATAGATTTTGCAAAGGCACTTCACAAATATGATCATGGAGTGATAGCTCCTGAAGCAAAGTCGAAAGGAATAACATGTAAAATAAGCATTTTGATAATATAATAAGATTTCTAAAAAGTTACAATAAGTAAATCAAACAATGTCTACATACAGTAAGAAAAAATAAAATCAGTAACACAAGGCACAATCCTTGTGCCTTTGCTCAGTCTTATAGTAATATAAAAACTAACAGCGTCACACCATCTTTTAAGGAGGATACCAAAATCAGTACAAAAATTGCCTCTGCAACTTTTTGAAACTAGGCCCAAAGGTCTATCACTGTACTATTGAAATCAACATGAGCGATAAATTTTAACTGTTTCAGTAAAGTAAAAAAGTAATGCTTAAGATATCTGAGAAGAGAGAGAACAATGAAATAAATATAGCATTAGGCATTTAAATGATAGGGCTGATTATGAGACCCTCCAAAACAAGAGCTCTTTCAAAGGTAGTTCACCTTTACAAGATGGGAAAAATTCCTTGAACTAGGCTTGAGTCTTACAAGCACAATCCATGGAGAGTCTAGCATTTTCTTTGGTTTATATGAGGAGGACATTCCCCTCACTGTTTAAAACTTCAGTGCTGTATAACCACAATGAACTCAGCAGTTTGTCATAAAAAAATTTAAAATTCAAAATAAGGAATGTCACAACGATGATCGCATTTTACAAGGCACTTGCACTCTCATTTAAAACAATGACCTGCCTCAAATTTCCTTTCAATTTCAGGTGATGTCAGAATTAGAAAATATATGTGATTTAATTCTTTCAGAAACAATTGGTCATCTTAACTACTGCTATCAGCACAAAACAATCTGAATGTATTCTGGAACAGAGATGGGAGTTTCACTAAAGTTGTAAATATTTGATCAGGTCCCTATTATGCACAGTAAACTACCAACTTACTGAACTGAGTGAAATAAAGAATAAGTCACAATACCATGGCTAGAACAATACACAAATAACTCACACTTGAGAAAAGGATAGTAGTAATAAGTTTGGATCAAAACATTGCCATTACTCTCACCCTCCTAAATGCAGGTTATTTGTGAACTGAGAAATACAAGTGTGGAATAAACTAAATGAAAAAATATTGATATTATAAACACAGTTACAGAACACTGCTAACATTAGAGATCCATGATTCTTTGACCTTTTAACAGCAAGTATAAGAAATATCGCCAGAACAAACAAAAGTTTTCGAGAGGGAAATACACAAATTCCCACAGGTGGAGCATAATCACCCATGTTGTGATTGTTCTGTAAACTTGCAAGCCACTAGCAGCAATAGTCTGACTGAACAAACGATTAGTCATTAAGAAAACCTGACCTCAGGCTGGGGTGCAACATTATGAAAAAATGTAAAACCATTCATAAATATTCTCTCATTCCCTTGCAGTTAATAACACTGCTTGTCCAATGCAAAATTAAGAGTGTTTTGAGCTAAAGTCCATGCAACTACATCATTTAGGGAAGTGTTTAATTATCCAAGGAATGCCAGGGATATACAAAACTCCCTACAAAGGCTGATTATTTTCATACATCAAACAAACCAGAAAAAATCTCAACACTAGAGTCATCAAACAAACAATCCATTAGGCAAGCACACGAAAGTTCAAGTCATTTTTCAATGTGCTAAAAATTGCAACTACAACACAGATTGAGAACATTTATCTTTGTTACAACAGGTATATCATAATTGCAAAAAAATTTTTTTTTATCAAAATGGTTATCAAGGTTGCTGTCCCAAATTTTAATATTTTGCAGTGGCAATGGAAACCACCCAAAATCAGCAACACAAGCTAAGCTTGCAAATAAAAAATGGAATTCAGGAACCTAGACAAAGACTCATTCAAACCACGCTTTACCTAAGTGCAACCCACTCTTGAGCCATGTGGCACTGATGTAGAACCCTGACCTAGTAAAAAAAAAAAAGGTGAAACTGGAGAAGGTATAAAGGAGTGCTCCAAGAATGGTACCTAAACTGAGGGATAAGATATGAAGAAATAATGCAAGTACTAGGCCTTATGTTAATGGAGAAATGGACAAAATGAAATATGATCATAACATACATAATGCTATGGAACATAAACAAGGTAGGCAAGGATAAGCTGTGTATCAGGGATGCAACAGGAACAAGGGAGCATGGGTGGAAATTACACACCCAAATGAGTCACAGATATCAGGAAACATTTTTTCAACACAGGTGGAAAAATAAAAGAGGAATGAGCTGACCATTGACAGAAGAGGCAAGCACCATATACGATGCACGAGTGTGTTAGATAGGAGCGAATGGAGATGAATGGTTTTTGGAACCTAACGAGCTGTTGGAGCGTGAGCAGGGTAATATTTTGTGAAGGGATTCAGAGAAACCAGTTAGCCAGACTTGAGTCCTGGAAATGGGAAGTACAATGCCTGCACTTTAAAGGGGGATTCTGGGATATTGGCAGTTTGGAGTGACTATCTAAACTGTCATATCTGGGTGCATCTGCAAAGACAGTAATTATGTATGAGTGACGGTGAAAGTGTTGAATGATAATGGAAGTTTTTTCTTTCTTTCTGGGTTTTTCTTTCTTTTGGGTCACCCTGCATTGGTGGGAAATGGGTGACATTAAAAAAAAAAAAAAACACACACACACACAGTAGGGCCCCACTCATACGGTAGGTTAGGTTCCAGGCTACCGCCGGAAAGCGGACATCGCCTGAAAGCAGAATGTGGCTTTTCCATTTATAAACGCATACAAATGGCAGCTAACAGTAGAACTAGGCATTAAAAAACAATAGAAAGCCAAATACATACACAATAAATTCACTACTTTCCTTAAAATACTTGAGGGAGAGAGTATGGAGAAGGTGAATGTATTGAGATATTTAGGAGTGGACATGTCAGCAGATGGGTCTATGTAGGATGAAGTGAATCATAGAATTGATGAGGGGAAAAGGGCGAGTGGTGCACTTAGGAGTCTGTGGAGACAAAGAACTTTGTCCTTGGAGGCAAAGAGGGGAATGTATGAGAGTATAGTTGTACCAACACTCTTGTATGGATGTGAAGCATGGGTGATGAATGTTGGAATGAGGAGAAGGCTGGAAGCAGTTGAGATGTCATGTCTGAGGGCAATGTGTTGTGTGAATATAATGCAGAAGACTCGTAGTTTGGAAATTAGGAAACGGCGTGGATTATCAAAACTACATATTATCCAGAGGGCTGAGGAGGGGTTGTTGAGGTGGTTTGGAGATGTAGAAAGAATGGAAAAAAACAGAATGACTTTGAGAGTGCATAAATCTGTAGTGGAGGGAAGGCGGGGTAGGGGTTGGCCTAGGAAGGGTTGGAGGGAGGGGGTAAAGGAGGTTATGTGTGCGAGGGGCTTGGACTTCCAGCAAGCGTGCATGAGCGTATTTGATAGGAGTGAATGGAGATAAATGACTTTTAATACTTGATACGTGTTGGAGTGTGAGAAAAGTAACATTTATGAAGGGATTCAGGTAAACCGGCAGGCCAGACTTGAGTTCTGGAGATGGGAAGTACAGTGTCTACACTCTGAAGGAGGGGAATTAATGCTGCAGTTTTATAACTGTAGTGTAAAGCACCCCTCAGGTAAGACAGTGATGGAGTGAATGATGATGAAAGTTTTTCTTTTTTGGGCCACCCTGCCTTGGTGGGAATCGGCCGATGTGTTAATAAAAAAAAAAAAAAATTGTAGTCTTAATGTAGGGCAAGAGGTGATAATTATTTGTAGGAAGTAAGGTGTAGGTAGCCGGTAGATGTAGCTATGTAATCCACTTAGGCTACATAGCTACACCTACCTACATAGCTATACGGTATTTAATGCAGCCCAGAGCCATATTATTACCAATGACATACCTTGCTCACTGAGTTTAATCATTTCTAACAATTACCTTTAGATGCCATCATAAAAGAAGGGAGAAGTAATGAGAAGAATTCATGCTGAGAATTGTAAACAAAGCAGAATGTGTTAACCCTTTGACTGTCGCAACCCCCAATCCTGAGGTGTCTCCTGGTGTCGCAAAATTTAAACAAAAAAAAAAAAATTATTTTTTCTCATGAAATGATAGAGAATCTTTTCCCGATTGTAATGACACCAAAAAAACGAAATTTGATGGAAAACTGACGGAATTATGCTCTCGCGAAGTTAGCGACCTCGGCGCTGTTTACAAATCGGCGATTTCGCCCACTTTGAGCCCTATTTTCGGCTAATTCCATTGTTCCAGTCGCCCAAACTCATAGCTATTTCTTTAGAACTTCATTTTTTCTATCGATTGAATACAAGAAACTGCCCATTTACTGATTTCAACTACCTAATAATGTGGTCAGAAATTTGCAATTTGGCCAATTTCACGAAAACTAAAAAATATGACAATTTCAAAATAAGGTCCAGAATGAACAATGCAGACATTCCTGGCTCTAAAATAACATTTTCTTTGTTCATCAGTCACGTCTCCAGGCCCTTCTGATATTACTCTTGCTTTCTATTTTGAATTTTTATTCAAACAAAAAATATTAGACTTACTATTATGCAGACTACTGCAATGCTGTAATAACTGTATAAATAACATCAACCCATTCATGACTGCATATTAGAATGGCTAGTTGGACATTTATTGGACAATGGCATCATTTGTTTACTTTTGAACATTGGCAAAAATCAAACATTTCCCCTACTTTGAGCTCCATTTCTAGGTTCTTTTTATAGTAAAATCAATCAAAATCACCTCTATTTCTGTAATATGTTTTCCATTCTATCAAATGAGACCAAGAAAACGAGAATATAACCATAAATACTATACGAAAATAGACCACAAAGTCG